GAACAAGAACAAGAACAATACCAAAAAGAACAAGAACAAGAGGAAGAGGAAGAATAACAAGAACAAGAACAAGAACAAGAACAAGAACAAGAGGAAGAAGAACAAGAACAATACCAAAAAGAACAAGAACAAGAGGAAGAGGAAGAAGAACAAGAACAAGAACAAGAACAAGAACAAGAGGAAGAGGAAGAAGAACAAGAACAAGAACAAGAACAAGAACAATACCAAAAAGAACAAGAACAAGAAGAACACTAACAATAAGAACAAGAACAAGAACAAGAACAAGGTAGTTCAGGGAGGAATGCCGTCCTAGTCTGTTATGACCGAGTTTTAACAGACAATTACTTCAATGCAAATACTGGATAAGGTAAAATTTTGTTATTATCGCCGCCATTGACTTAAGTACGTATGCATTATAACTGTGTCCTAACATTATAACTGTGATTTACGTCTGGGTTGTCTTCCTTTAATTGAGAAATACATGTACGTGAATACATTCTTATTTATCATTTACCTACGAATTTATTTGGAGAGGAGGCACTGAACGTTTTAACAGAAGGTAGCATGCATCCTTAACTAACATTAATGAATTGATCACAAAACTATTTTTTTTTACTATGTCATACTGCTATGTCATATAATATAGTATTACACACGTGTGATAAATCCTAAACGTGCTGCAATTGTCAAAATCGTGGTAATGTATTCATACGCCACTACTGGTACTACTTTTATTTACTTTTATTTGCTATATCAAATGATACATTTACTGTTACATTTACTATTATTTAAAAAAAAAATAAAAAAAAAATATTGCATTTTAAACTTTTTTTAAAAATCTGGCACTACTTTGCACCGAACAGAACGACACTACTATGATTGGAGTACTTTGGTTTTGTCATAATTAAAATCCTACATTCGAGCCAATGTCATATTGAATTTATTAAACTCGTTCAATAAATGGATATGGCACTAGAGGCTCGTGTCATAACAAATTATTGAGCTCGTTTATTAAATTCAATATGACATGGACACTCATGTAAGATCCTTTATTAATAGTAAAGACGAGGAAATTGAAACCTTCCTGGAGCTAGTATATATGCATCGTGGACTAATATGTACCATTTCAGGGTATGGATTCAATTAACAATTTACAAGATAAACAATTCTAGCTCGATTTTGGATCACTGGATACCGGGTTAAAAACCGAATATTTATATTTCCATTTTAGTTGTTCTATTTGAAAGAGAGTGCATTTTAATTGATGTTACATCTCCGCCACTTTGGAGAGAAATTTTAGCTAAATAATTCGTCTGTTACATGTATGGAGGGAGATGCTGATATTTTGACTGTCTCATGACGCTTGTGATATTAACATCTAGAGAATGTAATTGGCTAATGTAATGTGACGTCACAAGAAGGTGAAGACAGCTTGGCGAAGGACGAAAAGTGGCTTTCTCGTACCCTGGACAGGTGTATCCACATTGTTACCGGTGTGAGATATCATTTTCTCCCACCCTTCACAGGTGTGTCTCCCGTTTTAGCCGGAAAAGATCAGCTTGTCGACCACTAGGGGGAGATAGCCTCGTGCCGATTAGCACGTATTCAATTGTGACGTCATTAAAATGCGTCATCGGTAATTGTGACGTCATCAAAAGTAAATGACGATATGCATACCCCACATGCGTTTTTTTACAAACATGGCAGACTACTGTCGGTGGAGCTGTGGCTGAAATAATAGGATGGGAGATCAATAATCATTCCCTACCTTGAGGGGGTAACAGAGAAATATCCAACCCTCGGGGTGATTTTTTTGGACAACCAAAAAACATCACCCCTCGGGTTGGAGATTTATCCGTCACATCCTCAAGGTAGGGGAAGATTATATTAGTCTCACCCTAGGGTTGATATGGAAGATTCCCCATTCAACGCAATTGTATGACGTCACGTCAATAATGCATTTTTCTTGTAACGTTAGTATTGCATTATGTATACTGAACAAAAAAAGAAACGCACAAAGTTCCCCCCTGCAGTACACATTAGCTGTAAGGAAATAATGGAATATTTGGTCAGGTACTACATCAAGAACGATCTCCTTTCTCAACAATCTACCCTAAAATCAGCCAAGCGTGACGATGTCATTGTGTGACTTTGTGAGCTTCTTTAGTCCAAAACACGCGGCGTGATCAAACCAAGCCGGAGTTTTTCAAACAAATAATCTCAACGGATACTCAACGGATACTCTAAGTTCAGCCACATTAATTTTCCACGTTGGCATTTTGATTTCGCCATTGACTGAGATGCCACGCTTAACGCAAATTCAGAGGGGTAGAGCAAATGCGATGTTGATGGATGGTCGAAGACAAACTGCTGTCGCAAGCCAGTTTGGTGTTGGCCCGTGAACAATTAACCGTCTCTGTACACGTTTCCGTGCTACTGGGTAAGTTTCCAGGAGCGGTCGTCCGCGTGTAACGACCGCACGACAAGACAGGGCGATTCGATTGTCGCACTTGCGCAACAGATTCAAGACTGCTGTAGAGACTGCGTCGCATACCTTAGGTACTCATGGCAGACCCATTAGTCCTCAAACTGCCAGGAACCGCTTGCGTGCCGAGAGAATCATTGCGTGCCGACCTTATGCCGGGCCACCTCTGACACCACGGAGGCGGCAAGTGCGTCTTGACTGGATGCGCAGACATGGCTCGAATAGGTTTGGGATGCGTCGACGGAGGCGTGTAATGTTCACCGACGAGTCTAGATTCTGTCTGTATCGCTCAGACGGAAGAAAAGGGTATATCGCAAACGCGGTGAGCGTTTCGCCGACGCATGCGTGGTTGAACGCGATCGATTCGGTGGGGCTTCTGTAATGGTTTGGGGAGGCATCTCCCATGGAGTAAAATCCCCCTTAGTGGTCCTGGATCAAAACCTCAATGCTGTTCGATACAGAGACCAGATCCTCCAACCACATGTCCTTCCACTTCTCAGACGTCATAACCTAATTTTCCAGCAAGTCAATGCTCGACCGCATGTTGCCAGAGTCTGTCGTGATTTTCTCACGGCAAACAACGTTCAGCCTCTGGAATGGCCCCCATATAGCCCCGACATGTCTCCCATTGAGCATCTGTTTGATGAGCTGGACAGGCGTATTAGGAAACGTCAAAACCTACACAAGAATGGAACAACATTCCCTTAAGGCGAATAAATGTTCTCATGAATTCAATGCATAGGAGAATCCGTGCAGGGATTCGTGCAAAAGGTGCCCCCAACAGGTACTGAAGTGTCATTTTGTTTTTCGCGGGTATCCCACTTTGAGTAAATACTGATGACACGAGTGACGTCATACAGACTTTTCTTCTACAGTTTTGTAAAGAGTAGACTTGTCCCTTCATATTGATATAAAATTTTGTACAAATTTCCCAAAATGTCATAGGATATTGATTGCATAATTTAATTGTGCGTTTCTTTTTTTGTTCAGTATATATGACAGGGTCAACAGGGTAAAAGGAAGAGAATCAATCACCCCATTGGGTGATTTGAGGATTCTCAACCCTCGGGGAAAGATTCTTAAGCTACCATACACTCGACAAGCCTCCTATTTGCCAACTCCAAAATCGTCCTCTTGGGTTGAAATTCCCTTTCTCAGACCCAAGAGATTCAAAAAGAATATTTGAAAATTCTTTTCAATTTTGTGTGAATTTTATGTTTTTTCTCGTTCATATGGCAAATTCTCAGGTCTTGTTTGGTTTGATCAAATAGAAACTGAGTTAACATACTGCGTATACCATCACCCCGGTGTTTATTTTACCTTCAGGATGCATGCTACATCACTAATCTGTTTCATATCAAAAAGAGTTAAAAACTCAAAACGCCTTGTTATCTAAATTATCTACTTTTTGTTGTATATCACATGCTTTACTGTATAAAGTATACATTATTTTATAGCATCTGGTTCCTTCTTCTACCAATTTCTGTCAGAATGAAGATAATGTGAGGTTCAGCAGGTTGAAGATTATTTCAGGTTCAACAGGTAAAATAGTATGTCAAGTTCAACAGGTTGAGGATCAAATCAAGTTCAAAAGGTTAAAGTTTAGGTCAGGTCAAACAGATAATTGATTATTTATCGCACCTCAAGCAGAGATATCCCACGTCATACCCATGCTATCTCGTCCGATCTGTCTTGTACCTTTACGTGGTATTTCGCGTTTATTTATACACTGCGATGTATTCATCCGCGAGTTAACTGCTTGAAATTGACAATTTGCATTATAATTGTTCTGTTTTGTCGGTATTGTAGAGTTGTGATGTTGTAGATAAAATATATTCTTCACTGTGAAATACGTTGTAATCTATGTGAGGAAGGACTACGTTTTTACGCGGAATCATTCAAATGTAGCTTAAGTAGTGAAGAGGTCATTATCAGTTGAGGCCCAAGGCGGGATACTTGTTGTTTTTAGCAAAATTGAATAGGTCGGGTTATCTCAGTCGAGGGTTAAGATTCTGTAACAAAATCTGAACCGAGGCGTAAGCCGAGGTTGGGATGTTACAGAATCTTAGCCCGAGATTACAGTTACAGGTAATATATTTTATTAGTCAGGTGAAACAGGCTGAGGATTATATCAGGTTCAACAGGCTGAGGATTATATCAGGTTGAATATTATGTCATATTCAGCAAGTTGAAGATTATGTCATATTCAACAAATCGAAATTAATGCCAGGTTCAGCAGGTCAAAAATTATGACATGTGTTTTGCTATATAAAATAAAAGCTAACAGTATTGATATTTAAAGGAAAATAAATTTATCTAAATAAGTCAAGAAAACAGTAATTTTTAAATGTTGTAAGAATGAGAATCACAAGCATTGTTTGTAAAGCTCCAAATTAACCTAGTTGATAATTTCTATTACATTTATAAAGCAGACAATCAGGTATGTAATAATTTCCGGTAGGCTTTCCTGCTGAGCGTCGTCTCTTTTAACCTCTCTCTGGTAATGGGACTCGTAGTGATAAAATCAGCGCCACCTGCCGGTATAGGTGTCTGAGTGATACAAGCATCGATATCGCCCACAGGCAAAGAGCTGTATAAGATATTTTCTCCTGTAGACATTGGCTATACAATGACCTGATCCCCGATAGATGTCGCCCAGCGAGCGTCACCTGGTGGAGAGAGAGAGAGACAGTAAAGGACGATAAGTATGAAGGCACAGTGATCTGTTTATTAGGTATTAGCTGTTGTACCCTCGGCAGTTCCTTAGGCCAGCCAGTCGACACAGTTCTCGCCACGGAGGCATAATTCCCATGTCCCGCTTCTCAGATCTAAGTCCGGTACCGCCTCGATCTGAAATGATGAAACAGAGGCTTATAACATAAACACAAACAGAACCCGGAAATAATCGGGCTAATAGATCGACCTCCAAAGTCATCTCGGTCCATCAAAAGACTTAGTTTCGTTCAACCAGACGCTTGATCACTTGAAGCTTGCGAAGACATCAAGAGTCCGGTTGAACGAGACTAACAAAAGACTATGTCGTACATGGCTACGTCCAAATTTGAACACATATTTGAATGAGTTTAAGATATATTACTATGGTCGAACTAGTTAAACAACATTATTTAACCCCACTCATCACACGTTGTATTTCTGTGCTCTTAAAAAATGTCGGTGTGCAAACATTTAGTCATAAAGGAAGAAGGGGCTAAATAAGGACAAACGGAAGAGAACAATCGAATATACATGCACGTGTATGCATTTCATGAGAATGTGACTCTTCCTATAATAACTTTGGTGATGTCGATATAAATACACTGCAATGTAGTTAGTATACACAGGGGCGTTTCTAGGATATTTGAAAGAGGGGGCGTAGAATAAATTCTTTAAAAAAAAATGACCATAAATAATTGTGAAATGCACTAATGTAACGGTTCCTGACTTGGAGCATGTATATTTTATAGTTAAAGTGTCAGGGTGTTTATGTGTTTAATTAATGAATATGATAAATTGCCATATTCAATACAATATCAGCAGATTACGATATTTTTTTCTTTTTTTTTCTTTGAAAAGGTACGCCCATTACGCCCTCACCTGGACCCGCCCTTGATACAGGTAACTATACTAATTCACAGAGGTGCAGACATTTAGGCAGAGCTGTCCCACCGCTGTGATTGTATCGCTTGTCTGTTATATATATAGTTGACACTGTCTGAAGGGTACATGTGCGTCGATGTTCTATGATAAAAGTATAATAGACAACTATACGCCATACAAATCGGTCACATAGAAAATAATTATGAAAATGAAAAATAAATAAATAGACAATAAATGGGTCAAAACCTTGAGGGTTTATAGTGATAGCGTTGGCCGATTAATGATGTATGTGCAACAGATTCTGTGAAGTCTTATGTCTATCATATTGTACATCACGTAACCGGACCAATAGTCCGGATTGGTAGGTCAGTGGTAAATATAGAATCGTGAATGAGCACTGAAAATATTCATGTGATTTTTAAAGCAGATTAACACGTACATTGTGATCATTTCTGATAAGTTCATGCACAATAATGGCGGGCAACCCGACCACCATCCTTGTTTTAACCACGCACAGGAAGTTTGTTAATTAGTCCGTTGGACAGTTGGCGCTGCGAGCAGTCACGACAAGGGGTTGACAATTGACATCACAGAAAATCTCGATTATTTATGACGTCACATGTGATTTGTATCTAACTGTGGAATTTGATGTGAATGGCGCGTTGTGCTGAGAAATATGTCACGGGATTTATTAATAAATTAATAGTGTTACATAAATGTACGTCACATGGGATTCCAGTGTTTGAAAGGACATAACAAATAAGTGACACACAGTGTGTAAACGTTGTCATACGCAAATACGCCAGACTTTCTATCGAGCGTTAAGCATTGCCGTAAGACTTTTATGTGCCATTTGATCATTATTCTGTTAAATTAGTCATTGTTTTTCAAGATGTAACACTTCGACAAGAGAGCGGTTTTGCCAACTACTTGAACTGACAGAACTAACTAACACGGTTAAGTATAGAGGGTTGATAATATTAATAGCAATATTTAGATTATTGACTCGTACGCACCTTCATACTGAGTGTCGCCTTTATCTAAAGAGTTATCTCCCCTAACCAATATAGAGGTATCCACGTAGACGTCCGGCGGCCCATGTGCGTATGTGTTGATTTGTTGGAGAAGTTTGAGTAAGATTGATCTTGTCTGTTGTAGCTGTGACAATCTGTCTAGTGACGTCGATTCTGAAATGATAAATACCAAAAAAAATATGATGAACATCGTCGATAATTATTCAGGAGAACAACGCATTGCATTAAAACATATAAGTACGTGTAAATTGATAGATGGCTACCCGAAAAAATAGAAAAAATATTCCATAAATAACAACGATGTATCTTAACTTCGTCAAAATATAACAAGTGTTGCTGGACCTAATATATATCTGCCCCTCTGTGTTTTCAGGTAAACAGTCTGGATTTCAGCTATATATATTGAAGTATGATCACTAACCCACAGGCTGGATAGTGAGATGAAGGGACAAGTGGTACATGGAAAAACTATTGCATATCGAATCCACCAGAAAATAATAAACACATGAATACTTTAATCACAGTAAATTTTATCAATTATATACGGTAATTAATTAAATTTGAAATGTGACTTATCTTAGAGTTATCTCCCTTTCATATTATAATTGATATTTTATGCATTCGTCTAATTTGTTCCCTTTAATAAGTCATTTATCTTTAGTAAGTGCGAAGGACCACTTAAACATAGTTATTATCTTTCGTAGTTCGAAACTCTTTTAACCGGAGGTTTGTAAGGTAGCATACTTCTTTAAATCAAGAACATTCGACTACTTATTAGATATTTTATTGATGGACTTTTTTACTTCTTTTACATTTTCTCGAAGCCGTGTCATATTCTGCACATTCTTTGCTATAACGACGCTAAGAAATGACGTGGATACACGTATATACCTAACAAACATCAACCAAAGAGAACAAACGAAACAGTACATATATAGCATCAAAGTACAAAAATTGACAAGTCACGTGATTTACAGCTAAAGTGTGCCAAGTATTTTCTTTGAATTGCGCGTCATTACATTACATATAATGTGACTATGATGACTCGTTAGCAGTCTGGGTCTTTTGGAAGCCTGAGTATCTCCCCTTACACAACAGAAGTACAAGTATTTTACTGTCACTGATATAGATCTTATCTCAATATCGAATCAATCGTCGATCGATAGGTTGCTGCGGTTTACGATCAAACAATGGTAGTTAATGAAAGGCTAGCGCTGGGTCAATGTTTTGTGTACATATAGGACTAGTTCGGTATATTACTGTGTAGAGATTCTCTAAAAGAATTTCGTTGTAAAAAGTATGCAAGGGGGCGTACAGGAGGAGAAAGGGGTGGGGCACCACGTCCTTAACTCGCAGTATCACATGACAACTCGAAGTGTCACATGACAACTCGCATTATCACATGACAATTCTCAGGATCACATAATAGCATGTAGTATCACATTACAACTCGCAGCATTACATGACAACCCGTAGTATTACAGGACAACTCGCAGTGTTACATGACAACTCGCATTATCACATGACAATTCGCAGGATCCCATAATAGCATGTAATATCACATTACAACTCGCAGTGTTACATAAACCTGCAATAGCACATGCCAGCTCGCAGCATTACATGGCAACCCGTAGTATTACATGACAACTCGCAGTGTTACATGACAACCCGTAGTATCACAAGCCAACTCGCAGTGTTACATGAAAACCTGCAATATCGCATGACAATTCGCAGTGTTACATGACAACCCGTAATATCACATGACAATTTGCAGCATTACATGACAACCCGTATTATTACATGACAACTCGCAGCATTACATGACAACCCGTAATATCACATGACAACTCGCAGTGTTACATGACAACCCGTAGTATCACAAGCCAACTCGCAGTGTTACATGAAAACCTGCAATATCGCATGACAACTCGCAGTGTAACATGACAACCCGTAATATCACATGACAATTTGCAGCATTACATGACAACCCGTAGTATTACATGACAACTCGCAGTGTTACATGAAAACCTGTAATATCGCATGATAACTCGCAGAATAACATAATGTTTATAATTTCATTAAGATTACCCACTCCACAATATTGGATACTTAAATGCGCGAATACAACTACTTACTTAAGAATAAACAGATTTTACGATCATCAAGCTCAAAAATTAACACATCTTAGCTATTACCCGCAACATTGATATACAAAGAACTTTCAGAATTCGGACTGAAAAACAAGATCACCAAGCTGATACATCTTAAACAGTCTGACCCTGAGAGCGCGTGCTCTGTCAATGAACGGAAATGTTAGCATACAAAACACCTGGCTAGTTTCCATGTTCAATATTTAATGGCCACTTAGGCTTTGTACTTAGGACGGTTATACTGCACTCCTACCGAGGCGGTAGACAGGGCTATACTCAGCATCCCTATCACATGTACTACCATATTGGTCTTCGCTTCCTTAACTGGTGTTCTATATAAATAATTATTTGATTGTTTAGATAAACAGAGGTGTGGCGCTATATGGAACAAGAACCTTGGTTTACCAATAAGAAAAGCCAAGCATGACATATCTCAATGTAGTAATAAGGTAGCCAATAGAAACATCAGAAAGCACGGAACGAACAGGAGGAAGGTAGTATAGGGAAGTGATGAACATTTGTTTAACGACCTATAAAGAGCTAAGGTAATTTAAGCACGTACCAGATTGACGTAGTATTTCCTTGGTGAGATTTTTGTGAAACTGAACTTCGGTGTGCAGCCGGACACAATACTTACACTCATTAAGTAAAATATCGCCCACGCCAGGTGAGATTCAATTAAAACACTAAATCTTCTAACTTTGGGATGTAAACATGTACAGTGCATTACGTCATTACACAACACTATTTTCACTATCAACAGTTATTTTCAGGGACTGAATTATTCTTATATAAACTAAGTTTATCTTATCCCCTACCCCCCACCCCTACCCCTCACTTCCATTTGCAAAATATTGATATATACATGAAAAGTTCGTACATGTATGTAAGCTTATTTGTAATGTGAAATATTGACGAACCCAACTTTTGATCTAGTTCGTATGTAAGCTTGTTTGTGATGTCAATTATTGACGAACCCAACTTTTGATCTAGTTCGTACTTAGGCTTGTTTTTGACGCCTCACCCTAATGGAGGGGGAATATTTTTGGCCAAACGAATATAGCCGTACATATTACCGGAGACATTTTAATGAAGAATTGAAGTGGTGCTGACCTTCAGCTTACCCTGACATAATCAGCCTCAATCCTAGCGCGCTCGTGCCTATAACGGGAAACTTGGATTAGTCGAGATATATTTTGGTAATTCGGTGATTACGCACTTAGGTCTGTAAAGTTTACGGTTATTTGTATGACTTTGACGTGACAGTCGTTATCATTCTGCAGTATAAGGGTACACTGTGACATTCCACGGAATGATTCGTCAGTAAGTGGGTTGGGCATTTTGTCCTTTTACATTGTCGTGTAGGCCGCTTGCGTTTATAATAAGGTCGGCCCTAGCAATTTGATTTTGATTTCTGACGAGCCATGACAAAGTCTTGCAAGGCCTGTATAAACATTTGCAGTTTTTCGCCAGGGTTTATACTCGAAATTGTTGCATTTAAAAACAGACAAACGGTTTTCCCCGCATAACTAATGGGTCTATGAGTGTCTCTGCATAGCGAACCTTGTTGCTGTCATCAGCTAGTGGCGTAGCAAAGAGTACCTGATTCTAGTACCCTGTACCCTGTACCCCGTACCCTGTACCCCGTAAACTGTATTTTCACAGCACAATACATTCGATACGATATGTATCTTAATACACATATCTGACTTTAAAGTTAGGTTCACAATACATGTAGCTTTACGATGTAAATAATAAATACTGTTCAAGTATATGTTTGTTCGAACTGTTTTACTATTTTCTATCACTGCAGAGTTGATAAAATCGTTTCGGACGTATTTAAAAAGAATAGGAAAAGAATTTATTGAAGAATTGATGGTTGCTATATGTGTAAGTGTGATCCTATGCAGACAAAAAAAGTACAGTCAAACCTGCTGCTTGAGCGGTCACATGAAATAAGCAGCCACCTCCCTTATGCGGTCAGTCTGTGGTCCGCCCGATATATAAAAATATATACAATGAATCTGAAATAAACAGCCACACCGGTCAATGCGGCCAGCGGTCACAAACATCTGACCCGAGACGTTATCTCCACATGTATTCAGCGGTCATTTTGTCCAGAAATTGACATCAAGAAGATCACAATATATTAACAAGAACACATCTCAATAGAGCAAAGCTAATTACAATGTGTAATTCAAAATTAAAAACCATAGGTAAGGTTTGACACGTGGAGTTGACAAGATGTTTACACAGCGATTTTCAGCTTTCAAATTGGGGCAGGTCCTACCGACCAATCAACAATATTTTACAAACAAACAATTACTCCCACCTTGTGTACTCAATCAGCTTGTGAATTTCAAAACAAGTATGATCTTTTGTAGTACCTATATACATACTGTATCCAAAGCTACTCAGGCCTAATATGTTATGTGATCAATAAACTTGCCGCTATATTGCATGCGGAAAACAGATCTGCTTCCGGTCTGATATTACAGTCCTGTCCTTACAAAGGAGAGACGCCCGACTTCAAAGCCTGTCAACTTTTACCGTTACGTGACCGCGAGATTCTTTTGATTTACATCAAAGGATCGAACTAGTATTCTTGTCTCATCAACAAGGTGGCGCACACGGAGCCTTCAATTTTGCTATGACATACGATCAAAATCGTTACGGCGTCAACAAGCCGTGTTCAAAAAGAACATGTCCACAAACCGAACGGTTGTTTCAGCGTGTCAACTAACTGCATCTGGCTCGCCGATTGGTTGATAGAACGTTTGAGGTCGGTGTCGTCCTTGATTTCAGAAGCAGTGTACAACATTGTATCTCTTTCGGAGACTTGTTGTTTGCGCGCATTGTCAACTTAAGATTACGCATACACGTATATGGAAATATAAAATTTACATTGCATGTACATGTTTCAAATCATGTGTCATGACTTGAATGTTTCAATGAATGTGTACTTATCTACATTTTCGTGAACTGTAATGATATTTCTGATTA